CATGATTATATTTCAGCAAGTATTTACCATCAGCCATAACCTTAATATTTAAAACTAGAATCATACTAAAATTATAAAATGAGAAATTATTTATTCCTGTGTAATTGATTTAACACAATTCTAATGATACGATATAACTATTTTGAGGTTAAGAATCTACCTGCTGCAATACAACAAAGTTGCAATAATTTGAAGGCTAGCTTCCGGATTTGTTATTTCCGAATTTTATAATGTGATTGGCATTAAAAACACGCTCACCTTCAACGAAATTTCCTTTCCGAGGCTTTGTGTCAGCCCAATCACATATTGTGTCAATACTTATCATTTTCAATCAATCTTCCCTAATCGACGCCATGTTTTTAGGCTCCTCCCATTTGACGGATCCCAATAGAAGGTAATGAATTTTGATCATTTTGTTTAAGTACCTTTAAGTATTCGACGAAAATTCATCTTAACAGAAAAACACAAATTCGGAAGATTTTTTGTGAAAATATCGTTTAGCCGTGAAACCAGAAATTTAAGTTTCATCTTGCGATTTTTCCGATTAATATGGGATATATTTCCCATTACAGCAGCTAGTATTCGTTGGTTCGGTTAAGTGGAGATATATAGTCCCGTTGTTTCTGGATGCGTTTTCGGGAAAATTTACCTGAAGTAGTTTTTGGCACTGGTCCAGACGGCTTCACGTCACACTCCCCCATCTCCTTCGTTGCCGCCGCGTTCCCTAACGACAGACTCCCGTTATTTGTGCTCCTGTACTTCATCTTCGTCATCCTTTTGTATTCCTCCTCCGATATTCCACGCTTAGCCGCCACTTCTATGCAGAGCTGGAAGTGAAGCAAGGGTTATGATGAGAACTATAGGTATATCAGCAATTTTAAAGCTGTTTTTGTTCTGAAATGATGAAAATTTTCGTCGTAATTTCGCAAAACAGAGTGCGAGAGAACGGGGGGAGATTAGGGCTAAACAGGAGGCAAAGGGTCTACTGTGGGTCTACCGTCAAAACGATTTTTTTGTTTTAAGCGTGTGTAACCGACGTCGAGACGTCTTCGTTGGGGATGATGTAACCGACTAAAATGCTATTGTTTTTCAAATACAAAAGTCAATGTTCGCTTATTCAAGAGTATCTGTTGTGTAGAAAATTTTGGTGCCTATTATTAGCTGACAAATTCAGTCATCAATGGGGTTACCCACTTTCGCTCTCCCTAAATATTTACGTATTCCATCAAGGGTGTATGTCCTCCCTCGCTAATTATTTGTGAAACTATTAGTTCCTGGCAAATTTAATTTCGAAATTATATAGGCACGCATAAAGTATGAAAATTATTTAAGTACGTTACATGAAAAATATATTTTCTATACTTGACAGGGGTTAAAAATTGAGGTAATCTGTAGAGGATGGAATATTAATTCAGAAACTAATGTATAATAAATTATTACAGGAGTAATTGCATAACGAAGTCTATTCTGATCTTGTTTCTCGTAATACTGGGACGTTTGATGGATAATTTATAATTAATATTGAAGCTACTAAAAATTATAAGAAGTGGCTGATTTTAGGTGTCTAGGAAGTCAGATAAGTCAGGACGGAAGGAGTAGTAGCGATATAAAGCAGAGGATAGTGCAGGGTCGAGTCGCCTTCAATAAAAAGAAGTCACTTCTATGCTCGCGAACGATTAATTTAGAAATTCGAAAAAGATTGTTAAAGGTGTATGTTTGGAGCACGGCGCTGTACAGGTGCGAAACATGGACAGTGGGCGCGGCGGAAAAGAAAAGGTTAGAAGCGTTCGAAATGTGGTGTTACAGGCGAATGATGAGGATACCGTGGATAGAGAAGGTTAGAAATAAAGAGGCATTAGAAAGAATAGGAGAAAAGAGGACTCTTTGGAAGTCAATAAAAAATAGTCGAGATAGGTTGGTAGGACACCTTTTCAGGCATGAAGGTCTAGTCAGAGACATATTAGAGACAGAAACAGGAGTTAGGAGGGGTAGAGGTAGACCTAGATTAGATTACTGTTCGCAAATAGTTAAGGATGTGGGAGGTTCTAGTTTTAGGAAAATGCGAAGATTAGCTCAGGATAGGAAAGAGTGGAGGTGCGTATCCAATCAGTCTTAGGACTTAGGACCCTATGATGATGATTGAAGCTACAAAAAATACATAATACATACCTTTTCGAAATCTTTTATGAATCCCCATTTTTCTTCCCACTCTTTACTGGCCTTTTCTTCTAAGAATACTTGCTCTTTGCTAAAATAAAAAAATATGGGTTTATGAGAACATGCTTTTAGTTAATATTTATTTGTATTTTATTTTCACTTACATTACTCCATCTTTTGTAACAAATGTTGGTTTATTTGTTGATTTTGACATGGTTTATTTATTTAAACTTAATAAACAAGTTTGGTCTCTTGTTAGATTTCTGGCTTTGTTTGATCGATTTTGGTTGTCATAACGCGCTGAATAGTCATACAGAAACGTAAACAGGGACTAACTTTATCCAATTATAAGAGAAACATTTGAATGGTTAAAAAAGGAAAAACCACTCCAATGCAAAGGACCCCTCAGTCATTCATAGGAAATTAGTTTTCGGTCAATTGTAATCAGTGGTGTTGTGCTAATTTTTTTTTTACCGGAACGCGTAAATATAATTATATAGACAGGGCTGATCCTAGTGTTGCCCAAATTCAGTCTTGGTCTTGCAGTCTTGGTCTTGTTCTTGCGTTTTTGCAAGACCAAGACCAAGAACAAGACCGCGTATTTTTAGCAAGACCAAGACCAAGACTGACCGTGCAAGACTTGAGCAAGAACAAGACATAGCCTGCAAGACTCTTGCGTCTTGCAGCTAGGACTTAGCGCTATTTCACTGAGTAGTTAGGTGTAACAGTTCGGTGTATAGGTAGGTACGCTTAGGAATTCTATGAGACGCAAAAAACTGTATCAAAGAATATGAAAAACTGGACCTATGCGCATTACGACTAATACCATAAACATAGCGAATAAAAAAATTATTAAAATCAAACTGAGTGCATGCATAGTTATGTTTTAACCATCGGCACTTTGATAATGCGGCATCAAAGGTTTTGTACTTACTTCTCAAAGAAATTTGCCGCTTTTCGGAAGTACAT